GTTTGAAGGGTACTCGGGGGGGGAATGGTCGTCTCAGGAGAGGTATAGACGTTGTGTCCCTATTTCTCCCGTCGACACCACCTGGCAGGACGGGGGGACGCAGGTCAGGACGCAGCTGCCCCTTAGGCTCTGCTGGGCAATTACGATGCACAAGTCCCAGGGGCAGACTTTAGCCAAGGCCGTCATTGACTTGGGGCCCAAGGAGGCCTGCACGGGGCTTACTTTCGTCTGTCTCAGTAGGGCGAAGAGACTTGTGGACCTCATGGTAGAGCCCATGAGTTTCGACAGGATTGGTAACCTTGGAAATTCGCCGACGATGAAGGCTAGGCTGCAGGAAGAGGTTAGACTTGGGGAGTTAGCACAGAGTACGAGGGTCAAGTACACGGACATGGGCGTCTTCAGCGCCGTCGCGGGTAACCAATGACGTGAATTGCAAAGAGAAAAAGAAGAAGAAAGGGTCTCTTCCACCTCCCGCGGACGCACACGTCTGACGACAGTTACATCTATCAGCTGTCGCTCGTTTTAGCGACAGCTACTATATCTTCTCTTGCCTTTTAGTTTCTTCCTATATGGGGACATGTCAGGGCGTTCACATCCATCCTTCCCCTTCTCCATCCGCCGCCCTCCCCACCCTACACAAGTCTTACAACTTTCACCCCGGGACGATAAACAAAAAGGGGGCTTCAGTTGAGACCGTGGCTACCCGCGGGATGTTGAATTTCGCATCAATACAACAAAACGGATTCGTCTCTCAAAAGTTGACACGAGCCTTTGGACCGAACTTAACAACATATTCGCCTGATTGAGAGCGAAGTATCTGATTGAGAGCGAGAGCCAAAAAATTGAAATTTCGGGTCCAGACGCCTCTTGCCATTTCTTGGCAAGTAGGGGACGGGCTATTCCAAGAAGCGGTGCAAATTGAAGGTCTCATCAGCAGCTTCGCGAGCATATGCGTGTCATCGTCATCGGATGCTGCAGCGAGGAGCTAGACAAGTTGCTAGATTTGCCCAGATTGGCTATTTCTGCTCAAACTGTTTCAGGGCGGTATCGCGTCGGGCGGTGGGCTCTGCTGTAGCTTCTGCTCCCCGCTGTAGCTCCACAACGAGAGACTCCCACAGGATGACCAGGGTAGCGGCTTGAAGCTACGGGCTAGCCCTTCAATTCAAGCTACACAGCAAGCTCCACCTCTCAGTGGTAGTCCGGCTACAGCGTATCGCGCAATCTCGCTCTCAATCAGATGCTACGCTATCAATCAGGCGAATATGTTGTTACTTGCAGAAGGGACGGACAGGGCGAGGAAGGACACCTCTTTCCAACCCATCGAAAAATCTATCAATCGAATCTCGTCACCATCGACGGAAGAAATACAACTTGCTTGTAGGGAAGACACAGGAAATCGCCAACTCAATAACCAAGTGAAAAAAGAAGGTAAAAAAAGTGGCATCAAAATCGAAAAAACTGCAAATAGAGCTTGAGAATTTCGCCGACAGAAACTTAGTCTAAGGCTATTGGGCTTCAATGAGTAAAAGGTGGTCCAGGATTGGAGGCTGATTCAAAATGAGGAATGCACATGGAAACACAAAAGCTCGCGACGTTGCCTCAAACCTCCTCCACATGCACTCTCTCTTTCGCGGATACGAGTGCATCCACCGAGTACAGCAGTAAAGTGTAAATACCCAGCGGGGTTTGTGAATATCCAGAGTGCTAAAAATTCGGCCGAGACGCCGAAACCAGCGTGGGACCGAAAGGTCAGCGATATCATGTGGGATTGGGCTGCCGTTTCGTCACACTGCGCCTCATTTAATACCATGGACGCAAGAAGACGCATGTGGCTTCGATGTCAACGCCCCGTGGGGTAGACATGAAACCAATCCATATCTTGTGGAACGTTCGTGTATTTTCGTAGTTGAGTGTCAAGATCAAGTTCACAATGCGCTTTCAAGAGGAAACCGGAGAATATTTCATACTCATTTATCTCAAGTCACTGACAAGACCTGCCGCCATCTCGGTGTTCGTGGGTACATGGAGCCGCTTCATGTGGCTGAA